TGCATATACTGTCGACTGCGACGTAACGCAACAGGACCCGAGAAGATCCGGGTTGGAATAGGTCTTCAGCAAACAATGCATGTCGAAAAAGGCGACTATGCTTATCCCAATTGCGTGGATCGATGCTCATGATATCAATCATTGGATGTCATAAAGCTGGCATTACGGGGGCACGGGTGGCCCAGTCGCCTGAGGCGCCGCGATTCGTTGTGCAGTGTTGCGTCCCTTGGGCACGCCAGAAACCTATGATTGTGGGTTCGAATCCCGGTTCGCCCTGATTATGTTTCTAGGTTTGTCAGCACCATACCAGTGCTCGTGGGTTTCACCGAAGAGGTAAACGTCTGAGACCTGCATCACTTCGGGCTTTCCTCCCACATTAAGCTGACACGCCGTGATATAACTGGAATACTGTTAAAAGCGGCGTTGCACCCTACTCACTCACTCTACTGGCATTGCACGTTTAACCCTTTACTGTAGAGTGCGAGGCTACACTATGTATATACATACATACATACAAAGGAAACGCCATTCAAATTAATTTTAAAAATACTTCGTAAGTGAACAGTATAGGGATAAGACTTTTTACATAGTAAGGCAATATACTTCTCACAAGTAGTTCAAGAACTCCGATTCTTTCACATGACTATAATTTGTCATATGACAAATTGACTATACTAATATGAAAGAATCGGGTGTTTTTTTAACTTCTTCTCGATAGTATAGGGGCGGTGGGGTAGCCTGTTGGTAAAGCGTTCGCTCGTCAAGCAGAAGACCCGGGTTCAATTCCCCACATTCATGGGTACAATGTGTGAAGCCCATTTTCTGTGATATTGTTGGAATATTGCTAAAAGCGGCGTGAAACTATATTCACTCGCTCTCTTTTGTCCTGTGCAAGTTAAAATCATGTAAATATTGACATTGCCAACTCATTCTTGAATCTAATTGATTACGTAAGACCTCTTGCACAACAAGAAACATCAGATACCTGTGTTGTGAGGCTCTGATAGACTGCGCAACCCTTACAACCTAGGAACGTTATCAGTAATTTACGGCCCCTTAAAACTTTGTAGTTTGCATCAGGTAGTAACTGCGTATTATCCATGCATCGATTGTCCATTGCCCAAAACATAGACAAGTTAACACCAGCAGTTGACGTCTATGCAACGCTACTGTCATACTGACCCGTGAAGATTCCGGGGTAGAATAGGTCTTCAGCAACCCATACTTGCCGTAAAAGGTGACTATGCTCGTCGTAAGAGGCGACTAACGGGATCGGGTGGTCAGGCTCGCTGACTTGGTTGATGCATGTCATTAATCCCAATTGCGTGGATCGATGCTCATGATATTAATCACTGGATTGACTGGTCCAGACTCGATTATTTACAGACCGCCGTCATATAGCTGGAATATTGTGCGGCGTTTAACAACAAACCAGCCAACTACTGTCATACTACGAGAGATGAAAGAAACTACTGTTCTACGCTGACCTTTCAAACTGTTGTTTTTTTATTACAAAACACACATTACTGAAGCGTCCTTACAGTAAGTCAATTTACTCCAGACAACAACCTCTTTTAAGTCCCAAACTGTTAGCAAAGGGTTGAATCAAGGCCTTGTAAGACTTTGTCATGTGGAATAATGCAAGGTCATCTATAGGCTTAGTCTACTGGCCAAATGTGTTTTGTATGCAAATGAGATATAGCACTCTTATCACCTTCTTTTGTATGTTTGATGGTGTCGGACTCACAGTAAATAAATAGCATGTCAACCGATCTCGAGGGGTATATGGCGTGATGTTCCCTGTGTGTGAGCCGTGTAACTCGAGCTGTAGGCTCACACACAGGGTACATATCACCGACATAATTAATAAAGAGCCAGAATATATGTCCGACGTATCACCCAGAAAAAACGCTTTGATTCAGCCATTTTGACAGCTGAAAGACGACATAAACGAACCGAGTTACATCCCTTTACTCAATGCATTGATAAACATCGGTTCATTTCAGCTCAACCATACTTATGCGAGATAAGGTAACCTAAGATGTTTTCCAATTGATTTCTCAGAAAATAATTGCCCGCTCCTTGACAAATTAGTAAGTCGTATTTTCATGTAGGGTGAGATAATGTCGCATGTAGGCTTACACACAGACAACTTAAAGGGGGTCTGTGCTCGTTATAGTTAGTGTTTGTTTGTTTGTTTGTTTGTTTGTTGAACGCCGCACTCAGCAATATTCCTGCTGTATGACGGCGGTCTGTAAATAATCGAGTTTGGACCAGACAATCCAGTGATTGACATCATGAGCATCGATCTACGCAATTGGGATTCGATGAAATGCATCAACCAGTCAACGAGCCTGACCACCCGATCCCGTTAGTCGCCTCTTACGACAAGCATAGTCGCCTTTTACGGCAAGCATGGGTTGCTGACGACCTATTCTACCCCGGATCTTCACGAGTTATAGTTAGTGACTTGTGTCAGACATTGTATGTGTCAATTAGGGTAATGGTCAACAGAGGGATTCATATGCATCATGACGATTTTGTTTACAAACAAGTTGGTTTTGACCGATTTGAATCAATTTGTAAGGGTTGCCAATTGATCCGAGCCTCGTGCCTAATTTTAGTACAGTAAACTACGTTTATACCGAACACGCTTATAACGAACTGACGGATATAGCGAACTTATTTTTAGTCCCGACCATTTGTTGTATATATGTTGTATGTATGCTTATAACGAACTACGATTATTACGAACTAAAATTAGTGGTCACCTCGAGTTCGTTATAACCGTAGTTTACTGTATAATAAAAGTCTTGCCAACACAATAAAAATCAGTTGGAAATCATTTTCAAAATATATCGTCCTAGACTTTCTGTAAGCAACCAATGTCATGTTAGTAATTTATAGAATTAATATATAACCGGTTATTGACATAGTTTCCCTGGACGTTTACCGTTAGTTAGGTTTATTTCCTGTCAGACCGATGTTTGAAAGCCATGTTGAGATATCTGACCCAGCCGTTGACCCACTTTGAATAGGAGCCGCGGGCACTCCGTTGCCAATCGTTGTAGAAGTGTGACGTATTGTAGGTCACTTCTGTTTAACATTTATTCTGGCACAGATTTTAGCAAAAGGGGGTCAGTCAGCGTAATCTGTCCGTTCTTATGGTTCTTAGTGGTTCTTATATCCTGTGCAGGTTTTTACATCACTAATTGGGGGCACCTAGTGGTTATTCCGGGATGAAAGTGGTCCCAAGTGACCTCTGCTTGTAGTATGGACACAAATGGACAGGTGATACAGGCTCGGTGACTTTGTCGTTTGACGAGTCATTGCACCGTTGCTCATTATATCAACCACTTGTTTGTATGGACGTGTTCAGACTCCATTAGGGGGGCGGTCGGGTAGCCTAGTGGTTAAAGCGTTCGCTCGTCACGCCGAAGACCTGGGTTCGATTCCCGACATGGGTACAATGTGTGAAGCCCATTTCTGATGTTCCCCGCCGTGATATTGCTAGAATATTGCTAAAAGCGGCGTAAAACATCACTCACTCAGTCACTCAGACTCGATTATTTACATGCCGCGGTGATGTAGATGGAATATTGCAAACTACAGCGTAGAACAACATTCATACTGTCAGTTCATTTGAGGCTGCGGGTGGCTCAATCATCAAAGGCGCTGTTTGTTGTTTAACGCCCCCCTCAGCAATCTTCCGGCTATATGACGGCGGACCAGATAATCCAGTGATTGACATCATGAGCATCGATCTACGCAAGTGGGATACCATGACAAACACCAACCAGCGAGCCTGACCACCGATCCCGTTAGTCGCATCTTACGACAAGCATAGGGTTGCCTGTTAAAAGCATGCGTTGCTAATATAAAGATCAATTCTAAACTGGATCTACAGAATTGCGTCCTTTAGTCTTGCTGGAATCCGAGATTCGCACTGATTGTGTTTCTTGGTTTGAACCAAGGTCATGAAACACGCCGTTTAAAAAAATGAAAAAGGGGTCAAAGCGGCTTTTACGGTTAAAGGGTTACGTGGAGATGCTTGATGTATATAATATAGTATCAACATCAATCCCAACACCGCCTTATCGTGCATCCAACGTTCATTGTCTACTTTATCATAAGTGCTTTGTCCTCGGATAAACATACAGACAGAAGATACAACAGACAGATTTTAGGGATGTTTATCTATGATGGTCAGGGATACTGCTTGAAGAACGTGATGCAGGGACAGTTTGTAAATACTACATCGTCAAGGAACGTCGGAATAGCGAGTTAAAATTTAACGTCTCATCGACATTTTAGCAGAGCTGCGACAGAATGTCAGTATAAAATACGGAAACAGTATTGACGTACATAAGCGACGGTATGAGTTAAAGCATTGAAACGAACGCCAGTATAAGTAAGACAGGGTGTCGATATAAGGTACAGATGCGTTATAAAAAATGGAACGGGTATTTAATATAAGATAACAAGGTGACATTGCTTAAAACAACATACGATAAAAGATTATTAGAAATGTTACGACACAATTGATGAGAAGCCATTATTTAGGAGAAAAAGAGTAGCATTGGAAAGAAACGTCACTGACCATTGGGAGAAACATTTGAATAAAGTGAAGACAACCATCAACGACTTTATGAGTGAGTGAGTAGGTTCTTACGCCGCTTTTAGCAATATTCCAGCAATATCACGGCGGGTGACACCAGAAATGGGCTTCACATATTGTCCCCATGTTTGGGATCGAACCCGGATCTTCGGCATGACGAGCGAACGCTTTAACCACTAGGCAACCCGACCGCCCCACGACATTAAGAAACGAATACATGTATAAATGGATTATCCCTGCACATTTAAGTGTAACTATTAACTGCTGTCTAAACATGTTGAAGCGTACATACAGCAACAGGTTAAATCAGAATTTAAACGCGGCACGAGAGCCGCCTAGACTGTGGACTACAGGTGGGGAGATTCGGGTCAGTTTGTCTTACCTGGTCATGTAGGTGCACTCTCTTCAGGATATATCATCCAGGTGTACTGTGCATTTACTTGTCCGCGTCTCGACTGAAGTGCAGTCTCCAAGTGATAGAACGCTACCCGCCAGCTTGAGTGTTAGAGTAGGTCACGCCAAGAGCTGAGAAGATGTGCAGCCCACGTGCTAAACTTATCTATAACAAGGCTCACAGAAAAGAAAATTGTTTTCCTGAGTGACATTTGCATCTGTCTGACTACAAAACGTGTATAGGAGTAAAGGTGTTACAGTCTAGTCTGTACCGCATCCCCTCGTCACGTGGTGATAACAGAGTCTCTGATTGGATGGCCGACTTACAAAAATGGAACGGTTCGCTATTATAACCAGACCAAATTTGTTTACTCAATACGCATACATCAATCGAGGCATATGGAAATATTTGAAAGCTATTTCCCTCGGCGACAATTTAGGGGATGTTGTCGTAATTATTTCTGTTTCTTTCATACATTCCAGATGCATTAAGAAAAATAGGTTTATTTCAAGACGACAGCACAACGGAAAAGTACAGCTTTCTTTAATTTGCTTCTCGGACCTTACACTAATTCTCTTCGCTGATTCTCTTTTTGTGAATTTGTCAAAAGAACTCACTCTCACTTTAGTTTCCGTTGATTGCTTGTAGAAAGTTGCTCCTAAATCACATTCCAATTTGTTAGAAGACACAACCTTAGAGAAAGCCGAGCAGGCTTTGATTACTGCAGGGGCGTGAATACAAAGTAAAAATATCACCCTGGGAAAAAGCTTCCCTTTATATCTTTGTAACCACACTGCGTTTGCTATGTTGAAAATCTTCTTTCATCGGCGGTTAGTATTTACAGATTTGAAAAATGAAAGGATTACATTTGATGAATTTTATGTTGAAAATTTATTTTTTTAACTAGGTTCTTGCACAAATCTGTTTGTGACCTCAGTTTGTTCAACTTTCGTTCTAAGAATTACAAGCTCACGATATGATAAATCATTTCTTATTGTATTCTGCAGGGATAGAAATTTGAAAGTACAAATTGTGTATTGATCTGATGAGTAGGTGGATGCGATTTATAGCATAACCACTATCGATTTATGAGTATTTCTGCACCGCCAATCTTATTGAGGTTAAGGTTCTGGGAAATATAGTTATACTTCGTAAACATTCATTTTCAAATGTGACGGACGAAGTTACCTGGGTTTTTGTTTTTTTTAAAGAAATGTGTCACAAATAAGATAACCTCCGTTTGGATCGAGATATCTCTGCGCAAAGACTAGGAACTGCGTGTGCACTCAAGTGTGACGTCACAGTGATAGGTTCTCGTGAAGTAGATAATCGGCATTACGTCGCCGTGGTATCAAGGTCACGGACGAAATATGACCTTGTCAGAATATTCTCTTAAGGCAGGCCAAAGTAAGAGAACGCTTAACGTACTGCAAACCACTCGTGCTTGTGACGTCCAATGGGGATCAGGTGGTGGTTTTGGGGGACCTGGCTGGTGGTGTGTCATCGTACACCAACGGCCTGGATCGTTGTCCGTGCCGACAACCAAGGTTCTTTCTGGCTTAATCGATTATTTACAGGCCGCCTGGTTTAGCTGGGATGTTGTTGACTGCGGCATTAAACAACATGAACATATTTTGCTATGGTCAAATGTGTTTATATTGGTTGATAATAATGTTTGCATCAAACAGGCGCGCTTCAGGTATTATTTCAAGGTCGGTTGGTTTCTTTAACGCCACACTCAGCAATATTCCAGCTATATGACGGCGGGCTGTAAATAATCGAGTCTGGACCAAACAATCCAGTGATTGATATCATGAGCATCGATCATGGGATCGATGACATGTATCAACAAAGTCAGCGAGCCTGACCACCCGATCCCGTTAGTCGCCTCTTACGACAAGCATAGTCGCCTTTTACGGCACGCATGGGTTGCTGAAGACCTAATCTATCCCGGAATTTCACGGGTCGTATTATTCAAGGGATAGAAAGAAAATGGATATTTGTTGATCATATGAATATATCTTATAGAGGCTGAACCATGAGTTTGGAAAAGGGGGGTCGGACATGATACAAAGGTCACGAATTGACTTGAACTAGAGCGCAATTAAATTTAGGGTGTCTGACTAAAAATGGGGAAGTGCAACCGCGCCCCGCTCCCACCCCTCTCCCCGGTCCGCCAGTATGATAACAACATAACAACATTTTATTTTTTTCTTTAATTCAGCGATCATTCCTCGTCTTCTACCAAACATGCCTTCAATGCGTGGCGGTTGGGAGCAGCAACTCAATGCTTTGATATACTGAGGAACCAGACGCCTAAGAGATAACCTACGCGTACCGAATAGAGATGTGTGTCGGGGCAGACACATCCACTGACCCGTGTAATGCTTACCTACTCTACTTGAGACTAAACCACCCGTCAGATGAAATGTTGTCGTTTGATGGGTTCAAAAGAATAACGCCAATGTGATGTACGTGCTGATGAGGTTTTCGTTTGTGTGAAGGCAAAATACTCACGGCAGGATATTTACATGTGAAAATCAAATCACAGAAGTTGATGTTGCTGGGCCCCTGAATATAGGATGTTTCAGAGGGATGCATAACGGCGGGGTTCAGGCAGTATAGTGCTTGAGCTGTTGGTCTTATACAGAAGGGGTATGCGTGTTTTCACGTTCAGTTTTGTATATCTGCATCACTAGTTATTCTTTACTTCAATCTAAGGGGCACGGGTGGCCCAGTCGTCTAAGGCGCCGCGATTCGCTGTGCAGAGTTGCGTCCCTTAGGCACGCCAGAAACCTTTGGTTGTGGGTGCGAATCCCAGTTCGCCCCGATTATGTTTCTAGGTTTGTCAGCACCATATCCGTGCTCGTGGGTTTCACCGAAGTGGTAAACGTCTGAGACCTGCATCACTTGGGGCTTTCCTCCCACATTAAGCTGACACGCCGTGATATAACTGGAATACTGTTAAAAGCGGCGTTGCACCCTACTCACTCACTCTACAGGCATTGCACGTTTAACCCTTTACTGTAGAGTGCGAGGCTACACTATGTATATACATACATACAAAGGAATAACTGGAATACTGTTAAACCCAACTCACTCACTCACTCACTTACTTCAATCTATCCCATATCTCAGCATAGCCTTTTGAAAGTATCTACATATGACATTGATCTCAATTCGATAGGGGGTAGCCTAGTGGTTAAAGCGTTCACTCGTCACACCGAAGACACAGGTTCGATGCTCTACATGTGTACCATGTGTGAAGCCCATTTCTGGTTTCCCCATTCCCACCTCCATCCTGCTGAAACGTTGGTACAAGAACAGTGTTTCTCCAGAGTACTGAATCAAGTGATAATGCAGAGGAAGCAGAGGAAACAATAGAAAGTGTAGTCACATAACTATTGCATAGTCACTTAACATGAGACCGCCTCCGTGGTCTAGTGGTAGAGCGTCCGCCCGAAGATGGTACTTGTTGTTACCCCTGCCTGGCGCTCGGCATTAAGTGTCTGAAACAAGCGCTGGTCGACTCGGAGTCAGTATACTGTATCTGAGTGGGGAATTCATGTTAAACTGCGGCATGGTATCTCAGTGAGCTAGCACTATAAATCGGCATCAGTCGGACTAGTACAAGCAGGCACACACACACACACACACACACACACACACACACACACACACACACACACACAAACACAAACACGCACACACACTCGTGCATCCCTATATAAGTGCAATAACCTTGGAAGCGACGTTACACCTCACCTCACCTCACCTCACCTCACCTCACCTCACCTCACCTCACCACAAAACATGACATTAAATAAATGTCAGTTTCTATATTTCAATATGAGTATGTCACTTTACAAAACTAAAACTACTGCGTTTCATCGGAAAACTTCTACAGGATACGATTTTTTGTTTTAAAGTGTTTGTTACATGGAAGTATGTAAACAACACACTAATGTATATGGTTCAACTTTTGAAAGAGCTATTCCGACGATAAAGTCATTCATTTTTATTTAACGTCCATTGAAGGGCAACTGTTCACAGGCCGACTTGCAGTCCTTGCTTGTTGAAGTCAAGTCATTCAACACCCACTTCTTTGCCTACAAAGTCGAAATGTCTCGGTTTCACACATGGTAAGAATTACGGCGTCTAGATCTGTGTGTTTGTTTTCCTCGAGACTTACACTTAGTCAATGAAAACTTGTCTTTAATAAAAACATTTCAAAAAATTTAAATTTCTTTGAAAGAGCCTTTCCTCTTCTGCATAATCAAGCAAACTAGACTTGTCTAGGCTTTAAGTAAAGAAATACCTAAAAAATTCAACAGTGATAACGCAGGACTAGTTTCCCTCTACAACCATGCACGGCACGTGAAGTTCCGGGTAAGAGCAAGTCTTCAGCAACCCATGCTTGCCGTAAGAGGCGGACCCGTGAGGATCCGGGGTAGAATAGGTCTTCAACAACCCATGCTTGCCGTAAGAGGCGGACCCGTGAGGATCCGGGGTAGAATAGGTCTTCAGTAACCCATGCTTGCTGTAAAAGACGGACCCGTGAGGATCCGGGGTAGAATAGGTCTTCAGTAACCCATGCTTGCCGTAAGAGGCGGACCCGTGAGGATCCGGGGTAGAATAGGTCTTCAGCAACCCATGCTTGCCGTAAGAGGCGGACCCGTGAGGATCCGGGGTAGAATAGGTCTTCAGCAACCCATGCTTGCCGTAAGAGGCGGACCCGTGAGGATCCGGGGTAGAATGAGTCTTCAGTAACCCATGCTTGCCGTAAGAGGCGGACCCGTGAGGATCCGGGGTAGAGCAGGTCTTCAGCAACCCATGCTTGCTGTAAGAGGCGGACCCGTGAGGATCCGGGGTAGAATAGGTCTTCAGCAACCAATGCTTGCCGTAAGAGGCGGACCCGTGAGGATCCGGGGTAGAATAGGTCTTCAGCAACCCATGCTTGTCGTAAGAGGCGGACCCGTGAGGATCCGGGGTAGAATAGGTCTTCAGCAACCCATGCTTGTCGTAAGAGGCGGACCCGTGAGGATCCGGGGTAGAATAGGTCTTCAGCAACCCATGCTTGTCGTAAGAGGCGGACCCGTGAGGATCCGGGGTAGAATAGGTCTTCAGCAACCCATGCTTGTCGTAAGAGGCGGACCCGTGAAGTACAGGGGTAGAATAGGTCTCCAGTAACCCATGCTTGCCGTAAGAGGCTGGCCCGTGAAGATCCGGGGTAGAATAGGTCTTCAGCAACGCATGCTTGCCGTAAGAGGCGGACCCGTGAAGTT